AGTTTTACCCCACTTATGGAAATACAAAATCTTTTTTTGGTTGTACGTATACCATGAATTTTTTAATTTAACTGGCCCCTTAAATTGTATCCCCTTCCCTTTCATTAAATAGTTTTTGAATTCCACCAGGTAATAAATTGTTCCTGGCTTTATACATAAACACTGCAGTCTTATATCCCACTAAATCAAAAAATTTTAACAATTTAGACTGTATGAAAGCTCCATTGGTGTGATCCCTGTACCCCATCTTATGCACAATTCTTATCGCTCTTTTTTGTAATATATACAATGGTTGAAGTGAGCTTTTGTATGTATTCCCCCAGTTTTCAACGCCATACTCTAAGTATGGTAGAATCAATGAAGAATTCAAAATACGTAGTGCTTTCCCGTCCAAAATATATCTAACCCTTGCCAATATCGATATATTTTTTGCTATTTTGTTCTGAACATATCTGATATGAGATTTCCAGGAGAATTTGTCATCAACTATTATAAGAGAACCTTTTAAAAAATGTCTTGCTTTGTCTGAACACCAATAAAAAAAAAACTCAAAAGATATTCAGCTTGCAGTAACACAACACAGAAAGTGAACAAATACATTTTAGAACTGGAACCAGAGAGAGAAAGTTAGGATATAGAGTTTTTGCTTGAAAAAGGAAACGATTAATTGATTACCAGCATACTGTAGCTGCAGATTCATTTTCAGCCCACTGACCAGTGTCACTGTGTTCATCATCCAACCCTTGGATATAAAGATGGTTTAGCTGTAACAATTGTCTTCTTCAGGTTTCCGGCTCAATGCATCTTCCTGGCCCATGTTCCTCCTGAAAACACTAAATGGAGCTGAGATGGCACCTTCTCGCATCTTTCACAAGGTACCTGTACAAGGCTCACAAGCTCAGCATGCTCTGTAAAGCTAACTGCTCTGTTATTTCAGGGAGAAATCAAGCATGTTTGTTTACTAGTCATAGTTACTCATGCAAATCTGAGTTCCCGGGGATCTTTTAATCTATTGCCTGTTTGAATAAGGAACCTTATCACTCGTATCCAAAATTCAGCAGCGTTAGGTTGATTTTACTGTTTCTCCCTTCTATAGATAAATGCACAGCATATCTGCCCCCCCCCATTCTTTCTCTCTGTGCTTCCCAGCAGGAGCCTCCTGCCCCAGAGCAGAACTCCTTCCAGGTGGGCATGAAGCTGGAGGCAGTAGACCGAAAAAATCCTCACTTTATCTGCCCAGCCACAGTGGGTGCATTGCGTGGCGTTGAGGTGCTGGTCACCTTTGATGGCTGGCGAGGAGCATTTGACTACTACTGCCGCTATGACTCACGTGACATCTTCCCTGTTGGCTGGTGCGCCCTCACGGGAGACAACCTTCAACCACCTGGCACCAAAGGTACATCAGCAACATAAACAGTAGACGGGAGGCTTTATGGGAAAAAGATTACAACAAATGTTTCATGTCACTTACCTCTAAGCTGCCAGTAGGGGTGTGTGATATAACAGTATTAGATGGTGAGTGATTAAAACATGTCCACAATCTACCTTTACAGAGAGATCCCTTGTATTGTGCAACACCATGTAACATACATTCATATTCCTTATTTGACAATGTAGCGGCATGGCTGTCAACACAGAGTTGTCTGTCTAATAAAAATTCAACATGTGTAATATGGAACTGGTTTGGATTGAAGTGACACAGCACAAACAACAGGTATTTGCAGATGTTACATAGATAGCATTTGCACGTCAGATGGCAACAAGACAAATCTTTTTAACCACCTCAAAAGAAAGAACCTGAAAGAGTATGCTGGCAGTGAAACAGTCAGAGGACCCACGTGCGTGCATCAACTGCAACTACATAGCCAACGGCTACACGGCCAAAACGAACAACTAATGACAACATTTGAGAAAGGCGCTCCATATGACGGAACCTGTAAGCTCTGGAAAGAGGTAACCAATGCAGTGGCATTATACCTGGACAAGGATATGATTCCCCAAAAAACTGTAGAAAAAATAGGGTTTCAAAATACTGCTCCAGAAAGCTGATCTGCTGTATGAAATATCCACCCACAAATATTTTTCCAACACGGCCATTCTGCTACTGTAGTATTCCACAACAGCAACTGATTTATGCTGTAGTTGCAGTGCTGAATGCTCTTTATTCTGTTTTTCTATTAGGTTGTTTTTTTGTTTTTTACCTCATAGGGTAATATTTTTAAACGGAAATTAGTTTGGTTGTACTGTAAAGTAACTTGCAAAATACTCCAACCAACCAAAATTGTGATTAGATCATATATTGTGATACTGCCTGAAAAAAATTATGAAATGTTATTTTTGCCATATCGCCCACACCTAGCTGCCACTGTGCTTGTTGGGTGGTCAGATAGCCTCAGCAACTTTTGTTGCCATGACAGGAATGTCTGTGTATGTAGCCATGCAGATAACCTAAGTTGCGTGCTATGAGATTTCTGCCTCCACTGCAATATGATGGGGGTAACTGGAGGTCATGGTGGTCACAGCCTTGAACTGACATTTAAAAACATCAATAGTTGTACATCTTTTCGGAAACCATGCCCCTTTTATTTTGGATTGTCTACAGAACACACTGTCAGCACAGCAGTTTACACTGGTAGTGCTTCTTCAGTAGGACGTGGATTGAGTGAAAATTGTTCAGGTTTTTGTCTGCAAATTGTCCGGAGTGTATTGCTTCTGAAATGACTCATGTTTTTTACCTTGAGCACCACAAACAAAATTAAATGTACCTTAACTACTGTTTGTTGGAGGAAGCAGACAGGTATTTCACAACCTCAGTGTATGTCACCAAACTGTCGGTATGGGTGTGCTGAGCCTTTTAAAATTAGGTTTATTGTTATATAGTTTATTATGTTACTACTTTGCAATGCTAATATATTAATATTTAGTATACTGTATGGTATCTGAAGTTATACACTTGGTGAAATTAACACTTCCATCAGTTAAGTCTCTTCAGAAATGAAACTTTATAACTTTCATAAAAGTATTTATTTCTGGCCTAGATATTGGATTTCAGTACACTGTACTCTCCACACACTGTGGGTTAACATGCCATCTATGCTATACAGAAAATACAAACACTCATAAGTTGATTTATCTTTCTGCATCTTTTCTTATTGACATTGAGTAGGTGGTTATCTATCTGTCTATCTATCTATCTGTCTGTATTGATTTTAAATGCAAGAACTGTTGCAGAAAAGTGATTTGTTTGGTTTGTTTGCAACAGATTTAATCATCATATTCTCTTGGAGTTTTGCTAGTGATTTTCATGGTATTTGTGTGTTTTGTTGGCTGATTGTGGTTTGCAGTGTGATGGAAGTACATCAGAATAAGCAACATTTGACCATGTCATCAGCATGAGATTTTTTTTTTTTCAAATTGAATCTCTCTACCGATAGTGTGTTCTTTAGAGCTGTGTTTTAAAAAATGGCTTCCATTTATACAGTAATGTCCAGACTAGTTTAAAAGGTAGTACAAGTAGGAATGTCTGTGTTGTTGCTTGTTTAATGACTATTTTTGAATACAATCCGACAGTGAGCAGTACATAGTTTATTTTTTTCCACTTGGCAAGCAAAGATTAAAAAAAAAGTCTGTTAAAGCTGGAATATTTTAGAAGTTTTAGTTATATTAAGTTTTTCCAGCATGAATAAAAAGAGGCAGAACCAGAGCTGGGCAACAGGGTAAGCATTTTGTTGTCCAAAAAACATCTAAGAAAAAAGGGTTATCAGCTACAAGGTCAGCTGTACTCATGTGTTAGAATTCAGTAATTGAAGGAGTTGAAAAGGAAAGAAGGAAGTGGGAAGGCAGGACATGTCTTTGTAGCCGACTGGTGTTTTATGAAGGCCTGGCGCTAACCCACTTGGCAGAGTTGGGCCATGACGTATTTGGAATGAGTCTCAGTACCCCCCTCCGCAGGCCTCTCGTTGGCACTATGTCTAACTAGGTCTGATTAGACCTAGAGTTAAGAAAGGGTATTGAAACGAAGAGAAAAGACATATTCTGTGAAACGTGGAGTGTTTACATTGTCACTGGATGGTGGGAGGAGAGAGGAAGAGAAGGGAGGAAAAAGACAGGAAGGAGGAGCAAGGCAAAGGAAGAATTGGGATGGGACAGGGCAGGAGGAGAGGGTGAATCTGAGGACAGCTGTGCAGGCAACCACACATTTTTGACTTTCCTTTGAACAAGAGAGGTGAGTGAAGACAAATTCAATTTCAGAAATGCAGTCAGATTGATAGTTTAAAGTTCTAGTGAAGAAATCTTGCTGTAATGTGAAGCGGGCAGCGGTAGCTTTGTGAACTCAATGAACTCTGTCTCAGAGCACTCAGGGGAAGTAAGAAAACAAGGGTTTGCCTGTTACATGTTTGTTTGGCTGTATTTGCAATTATCACCATTAATCAATGAACAAGTAACTTTGTTTTAAACATATTATTGACGGTTTGTCCAGTTTGTGGAGGATTAATCAAGTGTCTTGTTTTTTCTTAGCGTCACAGTGGCTCCCCTTTGAAAAGCATCAGGAGCCAGCAGACTGAGCAGAGTATTGATTGGTTTGCCTGTGTAGAACTGTGTTTAATACATGCAGCCCCAAAGGCCATGACCTGCGTTAATGACTGTGGCCACTGCTCTTGTAAATTTGTCCCGAGTTGATCCAGGACGAATACCAGTGTATTTTAGTTGGTGTGTGCATGCCTGGTGTTACTCACACTGTGGGGACTGAAACGTGTTTACATACTGACATTGTGGAGACTTGGCCTTCCCCATGAGGACCAGATGCTGGTGCCCCTTATGTTTTATGGTTAGGGTACGGCTCCAGGAAATGGATATAAATCAATGTAAAGTGCCCATGAGGAATGAAAACAAACGTCTGTGTGTGTCTGTGTAGACTTGCAGGTGTATGTTAAGCCAGCTATACTGGCTTTAATGTGGTTCTTTTTCCTATGTGATTGTTTTTTCATGCACACATTCTTGATGTATTGCCAGCTGTGGTGACTTATAAACAACCAGATAAGCTGCGTACTTTACATATGTTCAATATGTAGTATAGGCCCTCTCTGAATATTTTTTACCATGTGTCTTTTCCCTCAGTAGTTCATGTGATTTCTGAAATGCTACCCATCAAAAAAGGAAGGGTGTGTGTTAATGGGTGGAAGTTAGAGAGATAAATCAGAGACTCTCACAGCTGTCAGCAGTGTGCTACTCTATTAGGGTTTGTTCTTCAGGCTAAAGTGCTCAGTTTTTAAAAACAATTCTAGCCAGCAGGAACTTGATGGTAGATCAGAAGAAAATCATCTTTGGTTACTCCAGCCCCTCTATCTAAAACAGCTCTTTTTTTTAAAACCTTTTTTTCTGATTCCTTTCAGTCCTTTTTTTCTTCATCTTTTGTTTGGTGTTATGGACAGTAGTTTATGCAGGTATTATCTGTCTGATAGCTGTCCCTGGTAGGCTAAGTGACTTTCTTATTATCTGTCTGATGTCACAATGCTACCATAATGAAATAAACTTCCTCTCTTACCTTTACTGTTAGCTGGTCATATTCGTTTGGCTTTACTTGCTTGGTGGTGCTTAGAAATGTTTTACATTTTATATGCACATGGTATTTGGGAAGTTCAATTTTTCATTTCAGTTTTATTCAGAGTTTAGAAGTAAGAAATTACAGGTGATCCAGGCCTTTATGTCGCTTGACACATTTAACCAACTGATCAGATTCATAGATAACTGTTAATAACTGAGTATCATCTGCATAGGTGGATGTTGATTTAATTAGAACTTTTTTTATGTTCTAGCAAAATGTTTATCTTTTTTTTTCACACCACAAATAAAAACCTTTGCTCAATCAGTGGATATTTGGGTGAAGGCATCCGTCTTAGAAACTGATTTATCTAGTCCGGTCAGAGAAACCCTTACTATACAGTGGAGATAAGTGGATACAATGGTATCTATTAATCACATATGAATGGAAACTATGTTTTGTTTGATTCATTTATCTGTCTGTCCATTAAGGTAATCTGCATGCATTAGTCTTTATATTGATAGAGAAAGTATCATGGTTACCACATTAGCAATGTACTGATGTCATATTATAAGACAGTGCATCATGATTAACTAGGTGGATTATTTGTCCATTCCTTAATCTAGTTTCCATGTAGAGAAATAGTACTGCAGTGAATTTCTCCCTTTAATTAAAAATTCACAGAATGATCAGTTTTAGAAAGCCAACTCCAGCCTGCACTTCTTGAACCACTCGCCCTCATTCCCGCTCTGTTCCTGCTCATTCTCTCACTGTGGAGCACACTTGAGTCTGAGAGATGTAGTTTGGTGTCCTCAGGTCCTTAACTGAGGAATGAAATTCAAGTGAGGAAAACTGTTTCACTGCTGAGAATATTTGACCTCATCTGCTGCTATGAGTAGCATGAACACGAGTCTTTCTGGATTTCGTTGTTAAGCAAATGGAAGGATATGTGATTTTTAAAATATAATGCAACAAATTGTGAAAATGAAGTTGTACATTAGTTCAGCATTTTAGAAAAGTTTTTTATAGGATAAGTGATTGACAGTGATGAGTCATAAGCAGTTAGGATGCATAATGTGCATATGTTAATATGTGTATGTTCATATATGACACAACTCGCTTCTTGGTTGACTGCTGCTTAGAGTTAAATGGGGGGCTTAGCCAACAGCACAAATGCTTGTTGGATGTGTGGGAGCTTGTGACTCATTCTGCCCTGTGTGAGCGTGGTGTTGATTTAGAATCAACAAACATCTGTTAGTCTTGTTGTTCTCATTATATAATCCCATAATGAATCCTACTTTCAGATTAAATACTCACATTAATGGAAAAATGTGTTCTGAACTCACAAATGCAATTGAGAAAGTAACTACTCTGGCTATGCAAAAAAGATTTTGTTTACCCCCCATGATTAAATGGGAAGCCTGAAGCTGTAATTCTTATATTATTTTTTGCTGTTTTGCCAAAGCTTTTTATTCAAGTCCCATTTTCTTATGCATCTGTCTATCTTTGCCCATGCAGTAGTGTTGCCTAAGAGCCTTGGGGCACTGACAGACGGGAGTGTGGAGAGTCCAGCCATGCACCCCACCCCCACAGTGGGCAGACCACCTGGTCAGAGAGGACGAAAGCCAGGCCGCAGGAAAACCAGGGTAACAGGACCCTGGGGTCAGAAGGGCTCAGTGTTGGGACCACAGAGCATCCAGCCAAACAAAGACCTGGGGGCGGTCAAGATCCCCAAGAAACGAGGACCCAAGCCTGGCAGTAAGGTAGGCATGACATGGTTCAGAGATACCACCAGGCACAGACTGTTGCTTTCAATTGCAAGAATTACAAAAAACACATTTAACAGTACTGTGCAAAGGTCATAGGCCACCATAGATTTTGGTGTTTTGATTTTTTTTTTTTTTTTTGATTTTTGATTTATTCTTTCAAGCATGTAAAGACAGTTGATATGTCAACACACATAATTTTACACATATCCAACAAATGCTAATCCAATATCAATTTGCTTATACCTAATACATGCTTGAATGGAGTAGGAAGAAGTCAAACTTATCCAGTCCTACCCCATGACATCATCTTACCATCATTGGTTTGCAAGCAGTAAATGATTCACTTCTATACCACACAAGTAATATACTAAAAAATTATAACAGAGTGTTAACATTCATACACCACACCCACAATGTTCCATCTAATTAATCATTAAGCCTGTTCTTGCATATATCTTGATTGACACATACCTTTATATTTATGTTTAAACTCATCAATTCTATTACTATTTTTTATGTCCACACTTAAATTATTCCATAGTTTTACCCCACTTATAGAAATACAAAATCTTTTTTGGTTGTACGTATAGCATGAATTTTTAAATTTAACTGACCCCTTAAATTGTATCCCCCTTCCCTTTCATTAAATAGTTTTTGAATTCCACCAGGTAATAAATTGCTCCTGGCTTTATACATAAACAC